AATTTACTGAAAATGTTATTAATGTAGCTTCTGCAATATTTCTAAAAAAAAATCACATCATTGCCCAAAAAAGTCAAATAATGGAAAAAAAAAACAGAAAGAAGTGTTCAAAAATAACAAAATTATAAATAAATACAACTATTTTATTTTTATTAGGCATTAACTTCTTTTACAACCTTGTGCATCGGATAATTAAAAAAAATTATTAACTTTTAAATTTCAAAATAGTAAACATAAACTTTATTTTATTTGTATGTATAGACGGACACATGCGGATACCTGTCCTTCCATTTATTAACTAATTGATCACTTATATTACAGAACTTGAGATGAAACTCCTGCAGTTTAGGACATTGTTTCAAAATAATAGAATAATTATCAGGTATATTAAGTTTCGCTCGATAAAGATCTAACATCTTCAAGTTTTTGCACTGCGCTAATAATTCCAACCGGTGATCAGTGAGGACAACAAAGTCCAGATAAATTTCTTGCAAGTGTTGATAAGAAGAAAGTGATCTAAATAAGCTGTCATCAGTAACTGGGTATACGTATCTGTAACAAAAATCATATAATTAGTATAATATTTTAATTGCGAGCAAAAAATTCATGTAATTCTCTCAAGATGCTTGCAAGAGAAGCAAACAAATTTCAATAAAGAATACAGTAATATGTATTTTAAAAGAAAATGTAGCACACACACTTACAGAAAAAGTTTCAATTTTTGTAAGTTCTTACAGTTAGCGAGAGCATTAATACCCTGAGATGTAAGACCATGTGGGTACAGTAAATATATTGCTTCCAAGTCATGACACGAATTTGCCAACTCTATTAGAACTGCATCATTATTTGTAGATATTAATAGTAGTGACTCACGCATCCGTTGGTTATTTTGCAGTATTTTGCAAAGACATTCAGTTGTTATACGTGTACTAATAAAGTTTATATGTTCCAAATTATTTAGCCCTTCGAGATACGAAAATCCTTCGTCGTTTATGTGATGACAATAACTTAGATCCAATTCTAAGAAAAATTTGTATTAGTTGTTATGCAATTTATTCATAATCTTGACAATTATACACTATATGCACATACCTTTCAAATTTTTGCATGTCTCTGAAATTTTGAGTAGGACAGGATTTAAGTCCATGCGGCAGTCTCTTAATCTTAAATGCGTTAAACGCCTGCCGCAATTATCAAGAAAAATTACGAAAACATTAACATCAAAGTTGCTTCCTGTAAGATCTAATTGTTGCAAATATTTACATCTAGGTGTAAAATAACAAAATATATCGCACATATATTTGTCAGATTTAATCCATCGCATGTTCAAACGTGTATAGAGTAGAGGATCCCATGTTAAAATATCAAAGCGCCCATTATTTACTTCATTCATGCGGCATAATGTTACCAAATCCAAGTATTTAAATATTTTAAGTAGTATTTCATCCTGTAAAGATAAAATATAATTAATATAATACAAAATAAATACTTTAATACTCAAAGTGTACGAAATGTCATTGCAATAAATATTGTGATGAGAAATAGACTTCTTAGAATACTTTACAGGAAGCGCAGATAAACTGCAACGTGATGGCTCCTTGTAACTTTTCGATAGAATACGACGCGAGTATCTCTGTCCAAGAGGTTGTACATATCCAGGGATTACCTCTTTAAATGCCTTTTTGCACTTTTTGTGTTTCAAATTACTTTTATAATTAATTCTTCTTTTGCTGCAAATATCATCGGAACAAATTGATTTTCATTATTAACAGAAAAAAAGGATTTAAATATTACCTAATGTACAATAGTAATACCTTTTATAAATAACACAATATTCAGAAAAATTTCGTTGCAGATGAACTATATCCAAGTGTGCACTTTTCGAATCTGCTGTTAAATTGTGAACATCGTCGTGGTGTTGAGAGTACATGCTGTTAATTCTTTTTAACAGATTACTTAAACTCTCGTTAGGATTTCTAGGAAGGATCAAATCTGATGTACCGATAAGCATCACATACACTTGTGTAGAAGATGTACGTGAGCTGTCCTTAAACACTAGTCTGAGCATTTTGGTTTTGAAGTCGCACGGATGCGATAACGGTGGAGAAAATAATCTTGATTTCGGGGGTACAATCTGAGACGATTCAACCCACAACTGAATCCAGTTATTATTGGAATCTTGAGCCAAAATTTGAATTACGCTTCCAGGACGAATTGTTTCGTAAATAGAGACTCTGACTGGATATACAGCTTCATGAAACTCAATATCTTAAAAAATAGAAAATATAATTATACTCTTTTCTCAACAAAACCGAATCTTCTTTACAATATTTTATTTATTCATTCGAATATTATATATACCAATACTTTTTTTTTCGCTCGTCATATGGTCCCATGTATACCATGGAGTATCAATAATATACTCAGGTCTCATAGAATTGATTTGCCACGGAGATATTGAAATATCGAAACCATCCTTTCTCGACTATATTAGAAAATCGAAATGTGTCAAATAGAAAATCTTATAACATAAATTTATAGGTAGTAATTACTTTGTACAGAACAATAACAGATAATACCAGGAAATACACATACTCTGACATGTTTTTCTCCAAAAGAACATGGTAAATGAAATTGTTTGCCATAATTATAGGATCCGGGTGGTCCAATTATGTTACAGGTAGTAAATAATATGCCAAAATTCTGACCGTTTCTTATCGTGGGAACATATATTTTCTTCACAAATTAAAAGACAAAGTCAACACTATCTTTTTCTCCTACGGATACTCTGCCGATGTAGGGATATCGACTACAACTCTCGCAATTTAAAGATTTATTGTGGGTTGTCATATTGTCTTTCTAAAAGAAGACAAAGAATATGGAGAATAATAATCTTTTCTTTTTTAGCATATGCTAAAATGCATTATAATATTATATATATTAATAATTATAGCCTTCAGATTATATGTATAATCTAACAATAAGTTTATCTTGCTTTCATTCGCATTGCTAGTACTGACATTGTTACATAATATGCATGTGTGTGTTGAATATCATTATTAAATAATTAATTATTTTAAAGAAAATAACAGTTATTTTTTAATTTTGTTAATGTAGAAAAATGTTCTTTTATAAATCTGAAATATCGGGAGCTCTGTGTTCTTCTATTACCACGTGGCACACACGTGCACGAGCACAAAAGAAAGAACAAAAAAATTACACAATTTATATTGCTCACATTCGCCAGACTTACGCTTTATTTCTAAATGACTATAAAGTTCCAATCTACAATAGTCGTAAGAGTAGATGTAAGACGCGTAAGCAGCCCGGGTAGCACATATTATTTTCATAAACGTTTTTTGAAGGTATACATAGTTTCATAACCGTAAAGAACCATTAAGAAACGTTTGAACAAAAATGTTTTTGAAACCATGATTCAAGAAACGCATTTTTTACGTTACTATAGTTAACAAAATACCTATTTGTTAAAATTTTTCTTTTAAAATTATAAATTTGCTTTATCTGTATATATAATAGCCTTAACAGCATTTTTTGAAATTTATTGCACCAACTATTGCACAAAATAAATCATTTTATCCACGTACATATATCCACTTAATAATTATTTACTTAAATTAATTTTGTCCTACCGGTCTTAATCTATTTGTCATCGGACAAATCTGATTGTGAGCTTAGAAAACTTTCAACAGTTTTTGCAAAATAAACGTTCTGCTGAACATGGCCTTTGAAAGAACATTTATACGTGTTTTGTTTTAAAAAACTTCCTGAACTGGTGCACATCAATAATGCAATTAAGTTAGAGTAAGACAAGTATAATTTTGTTTTATTTCAACTTATTGCACGAAGGTGCACCAATTCAGGAATTTTTTCAAAAAGAAATAGAAGTCATAGATGCTATATGCATTAAGGTTTTAGAACATTCTCAAGCATGTCTCAAAGACGTCATAAACACGTTCAAAAAACGTGAAAAGTAGGAATTTTAATGGAGGAATCTACTGTAATGGGTAAAAAAAAATCAATTTTTTGCATAAATAAATAGTATAAGGTTTCAAGAATATATTCCCAAAGCGTTATCGTCGAATTCGTAAAATTGACAAAACTATAATACAGCCTCTTTAGTGAGACGCGCTGTGGATCAATACAGCAGAAGTACGCTGTACTGACTTCGCAGTGTCCTCGGCATTCTATCCTTGTGGGAACAAAAAGATTCTTCATACCTGCCTAGACCCTGAAATATTTGGTTTGACCCTACATGTGTTTATATTTATGTGTTAGTATTTTTGTGTGTATGTGAATGTGTGTATGTGTGTGTGCACCTTGGAAAGCACTAAAGAAGCTTGAACAGCCAAGAGAATGACGAAAACTGCCGAACAGGAAGGCATTTTATATAGATCAGGAATAGCGGATTGAGCGTTATTTAACTGGAAGAATCGTGGAAATATTAAGAACTTTATTTCTTTATTCAACTGCGATTTTTTTGACCCGCCATATTGAATCCGCTATTTTGAATTTAAAAAATCTGATATCAGATTCAGATTCAGCGACCTCAAAAACCTTTATACTAAAATCTTCATGCATTTCTATGAGCGTTTTTGGCTGATAGCAAAAAAAAAAACTTTAAACGCGTTTTTCTTAAAACTACTTTTTCCAACTTGGTGTGTAATCAATCAAATAACTGTTGCCACGTACGATTCGATTCCTTACAATTTTCTCCAGGGATTGAACCTACCGCTACATTTTATTGTTTATTTGTAACATTTTTATCAACAATAGAAGATTGATTTTTTTATCGAAAAAAATGTCATTTTTCTTACGATTGCTTTAACTTCTTCAATTTTTCATATTTTTATTTGCAAGTAGGTTCAATCCCCGCGTAATTGATTAAACTGTAAAGAAAATTTTGGTTTTTTGCTTTCAGATATAACTCAGCTTGTTGCTACATTGCACACCGATAACCGTTGCGCTACCGACATTGTGCTACAAAGTTGTACGCCAACACTATAAAAATTAATAAAATTGAAAAAAAATTTTTTTTTCTTCTTTAAGAAAGTCTGTTTATATCACAAAAAAATTAATCCAATATCACTTATAGTTTTTTTTTTAATTTTAAAAAGATTATTATTTTTTGCCCGGTTACAGTAGAATTCCCTCTTAAATGTCTTTATCTAAAATGTCTTTATCACTAAAACAAAACGTTTCTATAATATTTTTTTAAACGTTATTTTATCGGAAAAGAAATGTTTCATCGAACGTTTTTCGAATGGACATTTTTACTCATGAGAAACGTTTCCGGAAATCGGTTATAAAACGTTTCGGAAAAACGCTTATAAAATATTTCTGAAACGTGTATGTGCTATCTGGGAGTAAGCTATTGACTAATAAGATTTTTACAATCCAAGAATAATCGATTATTGTATAGTTTGTCGACTTTTACTGCTTACGTCTTACCGCATACTCTTACAGTTATTGTAGAATGAGTTTAAGATTTTTCAAAATGTATTTTTTAATGTATTTAATGTATCTTTTATCTCATTGTTTGATGTAGGTTATAGCGATTTAACAATAAGTTACACAAAAAATCATACAGTGAATAAAAAAAATTAATTATCTACCGGAAACCGGAAATTTAACTTGGAACTGAATCAAAAAATTAATCAGAAAAACTAATTTCTATCGATTTTCATACTACTTACTGTTTATCAGCAAGGCAGTAGGTCCATACAGGTACTGTTATTTCATGGACGCTGGGACTGACTGGGACCATCCACCATTTAGCACGGACGCGCGCGCACACAGCAGCGAACAGCCGTGTGGCGCGTACGGGTGCGGCGGCTTAGGGATCCTCACTAGAGGATCCCTACGGCGCGGCGGCTGTGTGCTCGACGTTCAGGAAGCTTCGAGCGGCTGAAAAGCGCAGATATACATCTGCAGTCTCTTTCTTGCTCGAGCTAGCCACGAGAATCGTAAAGTCGTCCTATCGTACTCGGCTCGCCCGTCTTACTCGCGTCTTCGCGTGTCCCTTTCCACACTAGGCGCGAGACATTGGGTGCGTTCAGCCGATACTCCGCTAGCATAGCAATCGTGAGCAGTCGCTCGTTTTCGCTCGTTTCCTCTCTTTTTAATCCATTGGGTCAAAAGAGAGGGAACGAGCGAAAACGAGCGACTGCTCACGATTGCTAGGCTAGCGGAGTATCGGCTGAACGCACCCATTATTGTGTCTCTTGATTATGTCACAATTCAAACGTAAAAATTATTAATTAAATAAATCTTTTAATTATATTGAAATTTACTTATCCCGGACATAAGAGATATAAATTAAATACATTTATATATAATACCTACATTTATTTAAAAACATTTAAACAAATAATTTTCTTCAAATATAATAAGAGCCAGTAAATTTTATTGCAATCTCTGCTGTAATAAACTTTTCTAACATATGCATTGAAGACTTATTGTTAGTATAACAACTTTACTTTTATCTATACATATTCTGAGCATTTTCGAATATTGTTATTCTGAAAACAATATTTAAAAATATAATTAGTTGTACTTATTAAAGTACATGTATAATGTTTCCATAAATAATTACAAATAAATATATATTATGTTTGAAAATTTGTAAATATTAATTTTTGTATATTTTGCTCACCATATCTTCTCCTAATTTATCATCATCTTTTTGAGTCTCTCATTAAATTTCATAAGTTTAGTTCAATTGTCAATTGAGAAAAAAAGACTACGATTTTGAGGGAATTTATCAGCGTTATAAATTGAGTGGATGATACAATATTATTATCCCATATTAATTTGTCAAGAATGTAATGCATTTTACTGGAGTGATACAAATAGTCCTTTAGTCTTTATCGTATGAAGAAACATTAACAAAATTAGAAGAGCATTTACTTTATAAAACACGGGGTAAATAATGATTCCGTACATAATATACAACATGATGTAAATAAAGAAATGATACCAGTACATCGCTTTATACAAGAACATTATTCAAAATTAAAAAGATTAGATGCGGCAGAATGCAACCATTGCTTTGAAGTTATTGTTTACGAACACAGATATCATAGATTACATAAGCACTTGACAAATAGTCATGCAGACAAATTAACGGAAGAAGAGGAGAAGGAAAAAAGATTACTTTGATGTTGGGATTACATCACAATAAAGGGATTACTTGACAAAATGTATGCAATGTGCAACAAATGTAATAATAAATTCTTCGTAATTAATGCTATATATTCGATCAAGCACTTGAAAAAGTGTGGGTTAAGGGGAGATTCTAGTGTAACGGGTCAAAAAAATCGAAATCTTTTTTGCATAAATTAAAAGTATAACATCTTAAAAATATGCTCCTACAGTTATAAAATCGAATTCGCATAAATAAAGAAGTTATAGCTCTGTTTAGTGAGACGCGTCAGAGTCCCAAACAGCAGGTAGTCGGTCGGTAGGTACAAGAGCCTAACGGGTCGGCTATTGTTATGTTTGGAATCTTTTGAAAGTATTAGAAAACAGTACTACAAGACTTTTTCGAAGAAGAAGAAGGTTTAATGTATGGGGCCGGAATAGCAGAATAAACGTTCAAGTCGATTTTTTAGCGGTAAGTATCGTGAAACTTTATTTAAAACTTTAACGCGTTTTTCTCGAAACCATGTTTTTCAAGTTGGCGGGCGTGATAACTTGAAAACTAATAAACCGATCAACTTCGGTCAAGTTTTGTTCAATTCGTTATATTCTCTAGGTACTATACCTATCATTTTATTTTTATTGCATTTATTTATAACATTTTTTGATCAATATATGATCAAATTTATGTCAAAAAATAAAAATTTTTTTTAAACGCTATAACTTTTTTAATTTATGATTTTTTCTTTGTTAGGGAGGTATAGTACCAGCGGAAAATATCTAACTTTAAAAAAATATTTCGTTTTTTGCTTTCAGATAACCGGGAGGAACGTTACAACACCCGCCAATAGACGGGAAATCGCAGAGAGAGGTCCAGATTATTTATTATATATTAAAATTAAATAAAGCAAATTGAACATAACTAAAATTTTTTGATACCTTAAGAATGCCTTTTTTTATCCCAAAAAATTATATTTGGCTATCATTAATAGTTTTCTAGAAAAATTCTTAAAAACCGCTTATTTTTTTGCTTGTTACACTAGAATCCCCCCTTAAGTATCATCTATTTAAAAAATGACTAAAATTACTGAGGAATATAGAATTGATAATAATGAAATACTCAATAATTAAAGAAAATGTAACGGATACAAATACAAATCAAAGCACTTATATAATCACTATTTGTATTACGACCGAAATTGCGTTTTTAATCGCAATTCCGTCTGTGTGATTCTGTACGTAATATTTGAGTCTATAGACATTTCATCGCTTCTAAATAACCGAATAATAAGATTCTTAAAACGGTACACATAGACCTATATTCTCATCAATTTTCTTTTATAAAAAAAAGCGCACATTTATTTCTGAAATGAGTGAAATGCTATTATTTATGTTACATATACTGTAGCATTTCAGAAATAAAAATGCACTTTTATCGATAAAATAGAGTTGAGAATAGAAGCCTTAGTTTTTAACGGAGTAGCGCGCACTAACTAATTGGCCTTTATCGTATTTCTTACTTCTTTATCCATAATATAAATGCATATTTGTATTATGTGAGACAGGATTTTTATTTCGACAAACCCTTTCACCCGACGCGGCTTGGGTCGGAGCTGTCGGGGCTCAAAATGTAGCTAACTAATATGTCTGATATGTTGGGCGCCAGTTAGTTTTATGAGAACTAACAAACTCTGATTTATTCAATAAAATGGTTCGATTGGGTGACCCAGGAAACAGGAGATACCAAGAAGTGGAAATAATTGACGGAACTGAAGATTACTACTTACGTTTTGATAAGAATTAGTTTCCTTTATTGTTTTACCTGGCAATCACAACTCTCAGAGATCGACTCTCCGTGCGATCTTTCGACAACTTTCAACGGCGCTTTACAAAATTGACCCTCCGTGCGATCACTTCTTGACAACTTGACGACGTCTTACAATACAATTTGACGACGTCTTAACAGGTTAAATTTAGACCTTCTCGCACGATGCTCACACAGAGAGTGTTCGGTCGTGCTTTCGCCGGGAGCTTCCTGTGGTTCGGCCGGTTCGAGCAGAGAGCGGGGGAAGTCGCCGCAAGGCCGACGCTCATTGGTCGCCGTACGATACATCGTTATCGATACAGCCATCGAGGCCTGTTCGGCATTTCGGCTGTATGGGGCAATCCCATTGGACCTGGCGCTAAGTTAATTTTAA